TCCTGCCTGCTGATGGCTCTGCTTAAACATTTACATTTCAGACACTAAAAAAAAAAAAAGAGGGGGGAGAAAGCCCGTGCTGTTCTGCAGGACAACTGAAAATTTACTTCCAACGCATAACACCTTTATACAGACGTTTAATAATCAAATGCTGAGCAGAGTTCAAAAATAAAATTTAACAATCTTTTTTTTTAAAAATACTTAACCCTGTAAAGTTGCACGTTTGTGACCAGCAGCGGGAAGCTTACCTGCTTGGCTGTTGTCAGACTGAGCTATAAGTGCTGCCATTGCTGAATTTGGATTCAGCCTATTGCCGTACATGTGGGATGGAGGCAGACTGAGAGAAGATCCAGGTAGGGTGTTTGCCTGCAAGAAACCAATTACAACTTGAATCCTGTTTTTTAAAAAGGAGGAGAAATGCTAACTATATTTTAAAGAAGCCTTCCTAATGTACAATTGTTATTATTTTTTAAGTTGAAATGTTTTTTAAAAATTGAATGTCTTTAAAAGAAAAAATATTCTTTTCCATTTGTGAGTAAAGAAATAGAATTGCAGTGCTTTGACAATATATCAGGTTTTAAAGTGTGTTTTACTTGTCATTTGCAAGATCTGTGAGTAAAAAAAACCCTCTAATAAAAAAATGATGGCAGCAAATATTAAAAATACCTAAATTGCATTTTAAAACCACCACCGTGTAGCAGGATGGGTAGACTTCCTTGCAATCCTGAAGTATTCACTCAATGCTGGGACTTAGTAGCATGGCGACCATGTGGTTACCCTACTAATTATTTAATCTTATTAAACCATTTACAAAATAAGGGCAGGTAGACAACAGATGTCTCACAAATGCTTGGGTTCCTTACATCACGAGCCGGCTGTGGAGGTCAAAAGGTCCAACTTTCAGCTCCATAGTTTAACTACACCGAGCCATATTTCCTTTGCTCGACTCCGTCATTAGTAAAACCTGCACACTATTTTGTTACTTCCTATTTTGATAGACTTGGAAGCCTGGTGGTTTTTTGTTTTGTTTTTATTTTAAAGAACGCAAACAGCCATTACAAGTATGTTTTCTATACAATAGGGGGCTCGGGGAATCACAGCTTTGCCCTGACCCCATATAAGGAACTGTATTTTTGGCAGTTGGCCAGCTCTACTTATTGAAGAGCTCCCAAAGTTTGTGTTCATTCATGTTGCTAACCACAATTCTGAAGGTCTCTGCTGGGACTTGTGCCAAACAAGCGAAAATGAACCCTTAAACAGATGAGGCTAAGGAGGCTGGCCAAAATCTTGCATAATCCAACGCAATAAAAATACCTTCTTCCTTGGCTGCTTACGCCTTTTCCCTTTCGAAGAAAAGATTTGTGTCAAACGCTGAGTTGCAGAGACAAGCAATCAAAGAAAAAAAGGCATGGCTGCTTATTAAAAATGCATTTTCCTACCTGATAAAGCCTGATAAAAAATTATTTCTGAACAAAGACAAGACTGGAATGGGGGTGGATGGGTGGGAGGAAATCAAAGATACACTGTGTGATGATCACTGATTTTAAAATGAATCTTTTAACAAAACGTAAGCAACATTTCCAAAGGGAACTTTTTTTGAAAAATGAAAAAAAGAAGGTGAACAGTAAGGAACTCAATTTGTGGGACATTTTGACATGTCTAACTGCACACAAGAGACGGGGGGAACATACTGGTTATTACAGCAAAATATTACAGAGTATAAACTATGTCTCTGGAAAGAATCACACACTACCATTAAGTTTTGGCTTTCAGCCAACATATTAAACTTGATGAATGGACTTTTATGAATTCACACAACTGTTTTCAATGATGCTTTATTTACTATATACTGGTGAGAAACTGTGCCTGATACTTACGTTCTTCTACTGTCACAAAGTTAGACAAACCCACAAGTAATTATTTACAATGGTCAGGATTTTTCACTTTTCAGTTTAAAGGTATGTGCAAGATTGCTAGATGTGGAACTGCAGTTTCACTTCAAAACTGGCTGGTTTTTTTAAGGAATTGCATGTATTCAGTAGAATTAATCTGAATTAGTTGTAAGTCTTAAAAATAATGCAGGTATTTCCACCTACCCAGGTGTAACAGCTTCCAGAAATACAGTATGTATTAGTACTGTGACACTTACTGATGAAGGCAGCAATACTGCACAGCTCCTGCTATTTTCCTTAATAAACACCGATTGCGTGATTCCAACTCAACTACTATTGGTCACTAGCAACCTTCAGCTGTTTTCCTCTCAAAACCAAAACAAACTTCAAAAACAATGTAGTTTTTTGTCAAATCCTTTCACTGAAGAAACCTTACAGAATGGAATATTACAAGATTCAACCATTATTTGCTAAGAGACAAAACCAACAAAATATAAACCTGTATCTACTTTATTTAAATAAACAGAAGTTATGAATTCTACTAATACAATTTGTGCTTTAAAAAAAAAAAAAAAACAAACTACAAACACCAGGTCTTATTTCTGTTTAGATTTAGAATATTTCCATTAACGATTTCTCTTAATTCTAGTAAGCGTACTGCTCACATTTTACACAGAAGCTGCTATACTTACTCTCACTCTGTATAATTCACTGCAAGGCTGCTTAAAACTGTGCAATAGCAATTATCTATTAATTTATGATGGCAGGGCAGCTATAATCAGCAAGGAGAATACATGTTTATTTGACTGAAATATGCCCAAGTGCTTTAAGAACTTTCTGAAAGTGTCTAAGTATCTTGAAAGGAGTTGCTAAAGTCTGCTGAGTAACCATCACATCACAAAACAAAAGACATCAAAGGAATTAAACAATGTTTGCTAAGTGGGTTGATACAACAGATCAAAAGACTTTTCGTGATTTAAACAATACCTAAGAACTTGAGTTTTTTCACAAGTGGTGGTTCAGCCTAAACTTAACCCCTTTATACTTTAAAATAATAGGAAAGGTGTCCTACAACAAGTTGGAACTACAAAAGTTCTACTGCCATCATGTATCCTATGCAACTCCCAAAGGAAAAAGTCACATTAATAAAATTGTTCAAGTAAGCTGGAGGTAAATAAAAAAACTTTTAAAATACTTTTTTTTAAATGGCAATGTAAATTGACAAGAATAACGATTTGCGAAGCTTTATTATGTATGTGACGACTTCATCTGACAGGGAAGTAGAGGAGGTGGAGGAGTGCTACGTTATTTAAAGGTGAAATAGGAGCTTCATGTTTCACTCACAGTCGCAACAAGCTGTAGCAAGCATTTATTAAAAATGCGCAATCATCCTGTCAATACATATTAAGGTCATAGGACTGAAACATGTTCTAAAATGCAGAACTTTTAAAGCTGTAGCATTCTTTATTTCAACTGATTCTATTTAAACAGTCAACACAATACACCATCAAAATATATGAACTAATAAAATAAGAGACTGCTAAGTATTTCTTTCAAAAAGGCAGCAAATTTTCCCGAAAAGATTTTAGCAGAAGGATTTAAGCCCATCTAGAGGTATATAATACACTGCTTTCATTTATGGCACGTTCAATAAATCAGTAAAGCAATAAGCAGCAGAGCAGCACAGAAGGAAGATACACTGTAATTCACGGAATGCCCGAGTGCAGTAAGAATAAATGATTGATATCTGATTGATGCTTAAAAACACTTCCGCTACAGCAAGAAAGAAAGTCAAGTATATTCTTCTAATTAAAGAACTAGACTTGTAAGTTAACTAAATTTAACTCGTATATACAAATAGCCTCTGAATACTTAAAATAGTTTTATATTTGTTTGCATCACCCCAAAATGATATTTTACTGTAACAGTATGACTATAAAGTTTCCCAAGTTGACAACTATTTGCATTCATAACTGGACATTTACTTAAATTTTCAGGGAAAACAGTTTCTTCATTTCAAAAGCTACATGTTCTTTAAGCAAAAGAAAAAAAAAACAACGGGGAGAAAAATGAGACAATACTTAGCTGTATACAATTAGATTAGGTCTCAAAAATTTGAGAACCTTTGAGCATGCCTATTCCCCTGTTCCTTTCAAGTTTTATGCTATGAAATATTTTCTGATAACAGGCCTCATTTCTGTCTCAGCTCCACACTAGTAAGGTTTTAATACTCAGCGTGTGATGAGAGATGAAACCAAGTGTGAACAACTTTCAGGTCCCATGAGTAGGCTGACTGTTGAAGCTGTCAGGTTCAATTGCATCATTCCACATTATTCAATGCCCCAAACTGCTCCCTAATTGTTAGGGGCTTAACATATTCAAAACCATTGTTTAGGCTAATGCTGAAATGCCTACAGTTGAGTTTCCACAAAGAAAGGGGAGGGATTTAATTGTAGTTAAACCATTACTGAACTCTCCTCCTTTCATGATAGGACAACAAGGATGGCCGGAACAACCAATTCCAAGACAGTTTCTTAATCAGTTTATATCCAATCGACATCCCTTTCCCCCTCTGCTTTAAAAATAGTCACTGCTATATTGTAGCTTTGCATTATAATATGATGATGCTTTACAATTAGTGACAGATCATGTAATTATCCACTTCAGCCAACATCTATTTGTCAACAATAATTTCAAAGGATATTTTTACTGTTTAAAATAAACAATACATATCCTTGCTCCTGTACTGTCTATATCCCTTGAAGTATGAGTACCACATTAATCTGGTTGGGCTCATAGCATTTACCAATCATACTAGGTTCTTCATCACAGCATGATGCTGTGATAGCGCAAAACTACCCCTTGTTCGTATAAACAGGAAGTAAAGAAATCAAGAGTACCAGATATCACCAACAACTACTTATGGCCAACTACTACTGAAAACAGTACCAAAAAATTTTATGCAGATGAAGTTTAAAGCAAAATTTTCTGTGAGCTATTCTGCTACAGTTCTCAGAAGATGTTACTAATGCTTTCCATGCAATCGTCTGGCTTCATGAAATACAGAAGGAAATTCAAGCACTAGACCAAATACTAACATCAGCTTACTTCATCTAGAAGTCATCTTAAACTGATATATTTTGGTCGATGGCAAGCAACATTTATCTGAGCAAGGCACTACTGAAAATAACATCAAAATTAAAACCTGCACTGCAATTAAATGAGCTTAGAGAGCCAAACATATTAATGATATGTACATAATGATAATCAACATTTGATTTTTATTTATATATATATATAAAAATTAATTGTTTTTCTTGAGAAGTGAAAAGAGCTGCTATCAAGTGACAGCAGCAAAAGCAAGCTGGCCTTCTGTTTCCTAGCTTCACTTGGACAAGTGAAGAAAAGTGATTTTATGCCTAAAATTTTTAAGGCCAGTTACGCTACAGGGAGCATATAACAGCTGTCTTTTCTTGGGTATTCAATGCAATGGGAAGAATGTGCTATTGCTTCATTTTATTCTTTCAGTACCTCTGATACCATCTTTAACTTCATTTAGGAGATGTGGGGGAACCACTGCCACGCATCATCACTTGCCTTCTCTGAATTACGGTAGCTGTTCACCTGGGATGGCAACACACGCCTCCATGCGAGTGGGTGGTCAGGCTGCAGTTAATTGCAGCAGTACACCAAATTTCTAGGAAGCCCAAGAAGTTCTGCCACATCAACAGCTTTTTCATGCATTGCTTACTGCAACACAACTCTTCAATATTTTCACCACAAATGTGGAATTTGCTTAGAAATCTTATCTAGACCTTGTTTCCAATGGAAAAAAAAATTCCAAATTTCTGTTTATTTTCCTATATGCCAAGAAATACAGATAGAATTGAGGACAACACAGAAAATCCTTAATAAAATCCTGTTTTCACATTTCTTCTGAAAGCCATCACATGACTTTTCAAAACAACTAGCACAACACAAAATAATATTAAAATGCAGCATGATAAACACTATTTAT